CGGTCTCGGGAACTGGACCCTCAGCCTGTGGGAACCGAGACTATTCCTGAGCAGACGGCGTCGGAATCGACTTGGAGGACACTCGCTGGTGTCTGAGCGCTTGCTGGCTGGCAGGGAGGAAGCCCCTCAATGTGGTCATAGAAATCTGTGCTGAGGATTGCTGCGGTGTGAGAGCAGAGAGAAATTGGTTTTTCCAGTTTGAGTCTCTCTGGAACAATGATCTTTGCCAATTTCCCGTTCATAGGCATAGTTGAAAGAACACAGGCTTGGCAGCTGGACGGCTTTGGGTTCAGATCTCAGGCAGCTGCGGGGTCTCAGGCAGGTGATTCCAGCTTCCCTAAGCTTCACTTTCCTCGCCTGTGAATCGAGGCGTATTGGCATGACTGGCCGCAGGCTCCGCAGCCCACTCAAGCCCGCTAAAGACTAAAAGGGGACCGATTAGACAGTCCTTGGGACGTGCCCCGCCTGGTCCCAGTGCCCGGACTCGGGCTGGCAGGAGGCGAGACGCAGGCGTCGTGGGAGTTGAGGGCCACGGAGAGGTCAGGCTCCATCCTGGGCTCGCAGAAAATCTCCACCTGGGATTCGTTTTGAGACGCAGCACAGGTGGGTCTGAGCCTTCTGCTAGGCTGTTTGTCCGCACTGATTCCCCCATCCCCGTCTGTGCTGGGGAGAGTCTGGCAGCGAATTCCTCCCTGGTTCCCATCTCTGCTCTTCTTGGCATATTTGCTTCCTCTGCAGATGTGTGATCTGCAGACTGAGGTCTGAGGTGTCAGTTCAAAATTCCCGTGGAAGAACATGTGGGGTCCAGCTGCTGGACCAGTGACCGGTCGCCTGTGGTGGGCAGGGTCACACTGTGCGAGCGCGGCGGCCGCTGGGTAAGGCTGTGGGTGGGACGGAGGCCACAGCCAGGGCAGAGACGGTCCCGGCGTCCTGTGTCCCAGCGTCGAGAGGAGTCGAGAGGGAGGTCATCGCGCGATTGCCCCTGGAGGACCCTCACGGCCCACAGGTCTAGCCCTGGCCACTTACGACTCGTGGGCCTGGCACCCTGGAGGGAGATTCTATTTTGTTTCCATGGAAAAAATTCAATTCATTATATTTAATCCATCTGTTAAAATTTCATTTAGGATTTCTGTGCCTGCGTTTATACTCAATATTGGCCTGTGTTTTGTTGTTTGAAAATCTGATGTCACATCTGGTTTTGGAATTGTGCCTATGTTTATCTCGTGCATTGACCTGGATGACAAAGGGTATTTCCCTATGGTTTCAAATAAGTTCTGTGATGGGATTAGCTATGTGTTTGAAATTTGAAAGCTGCCTCCCCAGGGAACAGTGAATGGTGCATTGCAGAGAGTCGGAAAGCCCGAGATTGGGTTCAGTCCTACTCTCAATTTTCTGGGTGGCCCCGGGCAAGGTCGTGTCCCATCCCTGGACCTCTGTAGGATTGGGGAGGGTGGGACAGCTGGCTGGGAGGGCTTCTCGGCCCTGTCCCCTGGCCTTTCTGAGTGGTCAGACGTGGGTTGTAGGATCTGTTTCTTTTGCCAGGCTCCCTCTGCACCTTCCTGGTGCCCTCTAGCCGAATTCTTTTTTTTTTTTTCTTTTTCTTGAGACAGAGCCTCATTTTGTTGCCCAGGCTAGAGTGAGTGCCGTGGCGTCAGCCTAGCTCACAGCAACCTCCAACTCCTGGGCTCAAGCGATCCTCCTGCGTCAGACTCCCGAGTAGCTGGGACTACAGGCATGTGCCACCATGCCCGGCTCATTTTTTCTATATATATTTTAGTTGACCAATTAATTTCTTTCTATTTATAGTAGAGATGGGGTCTCGCTCTTGCTCAGGCTGGTTTCAAACTCCTGACCTCGAGCAATCTGCCCGGCTCGGCCTCCCAGAGTGCTAGGATTACAGGTGTGAGCCACCACGCCGGCCTCTAGCTGACTTCTAAGGAGTGTTTTTCCCCCACCTTTAACCAGCTTTGTGTCCTGCTCCCTCTGTTCCCCTCTGGGCTCTGAGGGGTCCTCCCAAAGCTCGGTTTCCGTTTTCCACGGGTCTGAGTGCACACGGGTTGCGTCTTAGGCATTGATTTCTGGGGTTCCTGTAATACGCTCTGAGAACGACACACATCCTTCCGGTCTCTGGTGGACGCACCACGCTTTTTTGAGAATTCCCTTCTCCTTTGACTGCCCCGGCCCCTCCTCTAGCTTCTCCTTCCACCTCCTCTAAAGGGCTCTGCCTCTGCCCCCTTCCTCCCTCTGTGACATTTTCTCCAGGCTGGTCCGAGCCAGCCTGAAGGTCCTCGTGGCCTCCTCTGGCTCTGTGTCCTCCCTGCAGCCCCAGCTCACCATGGGCCTCTACTGGCCACAAGAGGAGAGCTGGGGCAGACGCCCAGAGACGGCAGGGTCAGGAGGTGACAGGTCCCGTCCCAGGGAGCAGGGACCCTGCTCGCACCCTGCTGTCCAGGCCCTGGGGGAGGGGCATCCCTCGGCTGTCTCTGAAGATCCCCCACGACCCGCTTCTCCTTCTCTGGTGCCCGGGCCCTTTCTGAACCAAGAGAGGGCCCTGGAAATGGCTTCGTTTTATAACAGATTTTTCCTTGTCACAAAAACGTCTATCAGAGTAGGAAATTTGGAAAATACCGATAAATGCATAGAAGAATTAGTACCACCACTCAGTGCTGACAGCTATTAACCTTTCTTCCATTTTTTTTCATGAATATATAAATGTTTTTAAGCATAATTAGAATCATGTTGAATATGCTGTTTACAACCTGCATTTTTCCATTGGCCGCCTGCCACGAGCATCTCTCTGTGTCATTGTGCTGTCTTCTGCTTTGTCATTTTTATGGGCAGCACAGCACACACCATCCTATAGATGTACAGACATGTATTCAACCTTGTGACTGGGCATCAGGGCAGTTTCCAACTTGGCACTACTATAAATACTATTGCAACGACAATCTTTATTCCTGATTTTCCCCTCTTTGTGTCAGTTCCTAAGCAAACCCACCAGTAGTGGCCAAAGGGTAAGAACTTTTTGAGGTTTGTGACACATCTTTCCAAACTGCCCCCACAGAGGGTTTGCAGGATGCCAGACCCTCAGACACACCTGCTTTCTCATCATCCCCGCCTGGGTTTTATTATTGGGAATCCTCCACCCTCTCTGGTGCAGCTGAGCTGCCTGGGAAGGAGGGGCGGGACTCTCCGTGGATGAGAACAGTGATGGGGCTCCCAGCTGAGTGAGATGGGTTCATGGGGTGCAGGTCCTCCCTCCTCTCACAGGGACTGGTGCCCTGTGATATGGCCAGGGCAGAGGGTCCCGTCATGGTCTCTGGAGGAAGGAAAAGGACATTCTGGCAGCAGTTTCACATGTCACCTGGGTGGGCAGTTAGGCTGAAAAGGGTAACATTCTTCTTCCTTGAATTACCTGTCCACGTCTTTTGCTCATTTGTCTTTTTCGCATTGATTTGGGTTACGCGTACAATAAACCCTTTTTCTGTTGCCTGTGGCATAAATATTTTTATTTATTTATTTATTTATTTTTGAGGCAGAGTCTCACTCTGTTGCCTGGGCTAGAGTGCTGTGGCATCAGCCTAGCTCACAGCGACCTCAAACTCCTGGGCTCAAGTGATCCTCCTGCCTCAGCCGCCTGAGTAGCTGGGACTACAGGCATGCGCCACCATGCCCAGCTAATTTTTTCTATATATTTTTAGTTGTCCAGCTAATTTGTTTATATTTTTAGTAGAGATGGGGTCTCGGTCTTGCTCAGGCTGATCGCGAATTCCTGAGCTCAAACGATCCACCTGCCTCAGCCTCCCAGAGTGCTAGGATTACGGGTGGGAGCCACTGCACCCAGCCGGCATAAATATTTTTTTCAAGTAATCTAAGTATCTTTTAGATGTTTTAAATGGTGACTTTTAACATGAAGACATTTTAAACTTGCAGGTAGTCAAACCTTCAAATCTACCAGTCTTTTCCTTTGTGGTTTCGGCCTTCTTTGTTTTGCATAAAAAGACCTTCCCCATCCCCAGATGGCAGGAACATTCATCTACATTTTCTCCAAGTTTGCTTCATTTTCAAAGTCTTTAAAATGTAGCTTCCCATCCAATCCTGACCTTGTGTGAGCAGGAGACATGCACACAGGTGTCTTCTCAGTGACCTGGGGGTGCCCGTGGCTTCACCAAGGCTAACTCCAGCCCCGGGGAATCGGGACAACCTCCGAGGGTTTTATCTCTATCTTTCCAGGGCTCCGGGAAAGAACCCTTCAGTTTTTAAATTGGCCTTTAAAAAAAAATTCTCATTGGTTGTGTCTCTCTGGTTGGCTCATCAGAGAATTTTCAATAATAAGGAACCTTACCAAATGAGTGGGTTAATGCTCGTCTGACAGATGGGCAATGGCATTTTCCTAGAGCCAGCGCGCTCTGTGTGGGCAGGAGCTTTTTGTTTGTTCACTGCTACGTCCACAAGACTTAGAACAATGCCTTGCACATGGTGGGAACTCAGCATATACTTGTTTTTTTGTGTTTTTTTTTTTTTTGAGACAGAGTTTCACTTTGTGCCCAGGCTAGAGTGAGTGCCATGCCAACCTAGTGAGCTAGGTTGCTGTCAGCCCAGCTCACAGCAACCTCCAACTCCTGGGCTCAAGCGATCCTCCTGCCTCAGCCTCCCGAGTCGCTGAGACTATAGGCATGCATGCCTGGTTAATTTTTTGTATATATATTTTTAGTTGGCTAATTAATTTCCTTCTATTTTTAGTAGAGGCGGGGTCTCGCTCAGGCTGGTTTCAAACTCCTGACCTCGAGCAATCCGCCCGCCTCGGCCTCCCAGAGAGCTAGGATTACAGGCGTGAGCCACCGCGCCCGGCTACTCCCGGTTTTGAAGGCGAGAAGTCCAAGATCAAGGCGGTAGCAGGGTTGGTTTCTGGTGAGACCGCTTTCCTTGGCTCGTAGGTGACTGCTTCTGTGTTCACACATGGTCTTTGTTCCTGCTGTCTCTTCCTCATCTAACAAGGACGATGGGATCAGTGCCCCCCTCTTAGGACCTCATGTGTCTTTGATTACCTCTTCAAAGGCCCTGTCTCTAAACACAGTCACATTGAGGGCTGGAGCTCTAACATGTGAATGGTTGGGGGGGGGCACACAATTCAGTCCATAACACATACGTGACGTGCTCAGAAATAACGCCTGGCACATATGAAGCACCAAACAATGTTGGGTGTTATTTTTATTATGGTTAGGAAATACACGGAACTGTGTAGGTTATTACTGTAATCTCATTGGGGGATGAGCTTACAAGTAATTTTATTTTACACTTTTCTATATTTTCCAAAATCTCCATATTGAACAATTAAGTGAATCTGAGAAAATGCTGCTAGTCAATAAAAGACATGGTTGAACATTGTTTGCAGCTCTCAAACCATCCTCACCATGTGTTCAGAGCCTTTGCTCAAGACGGGGTAGCTATCCTGAGTGCGTTCTTTGCTGGGTTTCGAGTTTTGGGTTCAGCGCTCCAGACTTATGGTTGTCAGAATAAAGAGAAGCAAAGGTCTGGCTCAGCCCGACCAGCCCTCCCTGCCAGAGCCTCCGTCCCCAGTGTGTGAGTGGTGGCCATGGAGACGGGTCACGCTGTGCCCCCCCCACAGCCACACCCTCCGGAGGGCTGGAAGGACCTTCAGCAGTGGGGCAGTGAGTGGGGCAGTCTGAGTTCTGGGTTGCAAACAACAAAATAGTCTGCACTGACTATTTTAAGAAGGAAAAAAAAAAAGCGCATAAAAAGAATGTGCTTACCTCTGAGAGGCTTGAATTTGTGGTAGGTTTGAGAACGGGCTCAGATTTCAGCTTCCAGGAACAACTCCCAGAACCACGGCTTCTGCTATCACCCGAGTGCCAACAAGGTAGTCGCCACACGCAGAACTTTCTTCTGTTCCTTTCTGGCTTCTGTATCAAATGCTCATGACAGTGTGTCGCGCTGTCACCGTCTAAGTCACTTATATACCCCTAGCTGCAAAGGAAGCTGGAAAGGTGAGTTTTCTAGATTCTGCCAGGAAGAGGTACTTACAGTGTGGGAAACTATCAAAATGTAGGAGAGTATTGGGGAGCTATAAATAATAAAGGGTCTACCACTGTCGGAGAAGCATGGCCGTATATGCAAGAAAACCTGAGCCCAGAGTGGCTGAGCCCACTGGACATGAAGTGGACACTGGGCCCCACAGGGCCAGAAAGGCGCCACTCACCTGTGCTGATGAACAGCAGCAGAGTCGTGGCTAAGTTAGTCTTGATTCCCAGAAGCCTCTAGATCAGTCCCGCCCTGTACCAGTGAACACAGAAAGAGGCAGAGGCTGACCCAGGGCTGCACAGCACGACAGAATCAGAGCCAGGACTGGGAATGGTACCCTTTGCCCCACTTGGGTGCCTGGCAAATTCTTACCCCAAGATGTAGGGCCCAACTCAAATATTTCCTCCAAGAAGGTTCCCTGGGTTAAGCCAGGATCAACTCTCATTACGTACTTGCCATGCTGAATTGCTGTTCTTGCTGCTTTTTATTCCTCTCCCAGCTACCCCTAGTTTCTAGGAGGGGGCCAGACACAGAGCACACGTTGGTGAACATTAGCTGAAAGAGTAAATGAAAGAAGAATGAATTAATGGGAGGCAGGAGGCCAGAACTGCTCCTCTCTGGACTTGAGTCTCCTGCTCTGCCAAATGGAATAATGTTCTCTGCATTCTTTGGGCCAGATCCTGGCCAGATCCTGGGCCAGGGCTGAACACAGGTGGCTAGAATCCTGCCTGCCAGCCCTCTCAGAGGTGCTGGTCTAGGAGGAGACAGGTGTGAGCAGAGCTGGCCACTGCAGTGACCGGCGGTGCTGGCTAAGGACAGCCAAAGGCTCCCGGCCTGGCCAGAGCATCCCTGGGCCCTGGTTCCTCCTGCTGGTTTCCACGGCTACCATGTTTCCCCAAAAATAAGACCTACCCATAAAATAAGCCCTAGCAGGATTTCTAAGCATTTGAGCAATATAAGCCCTACCCCGAAAATAAGACCTAGTGCTGGGCGTGGCTACGCAGCACATCTGCACAACCCATGCATTTCGTCTCGGAGAGGTAAGGAAGACGAGCAGCCCTTCTCATCTGCCCCATGAGAGCTCTATTGCTCCACATGAGAGATTGGGGCTCTACGGTTCTAAAGGAAATAGAGTCGTAAGAAATTCAGGATGGAATTTGGGGTTTGGAGAGTGATGATGGTGTTCCAGAAGATGACAACTTAATTATATTTGAATAAATGTAGATTGTTGTACTGTCCTTTAAAAAAATAAGACATGCCCTGAAAATAAGCCCTAGGGGGTCTTCTTGAGGAAAAATAAACGTAAGACCCTGTCTTATTCTCGGGGAAACACAGTACCACTCCCATGGCGTCTAGAGACCTTGGCCACAGCTGCCCAGGCCCATGGACGGTCCATAGATGGAGACCCACAGAGAGGGAGGAAGATCGTGGGGACTCGGGAGAGGAAAGAGCAAGTCCCCTTACGCTGGCCATGATCCCATAACTAGGCTCAGAGCCCTTCCCTCACCATCCCTCAGGGAGGCCAAGCCACGCTCAGAGGAGAACAGGAAAACGCTTGGCTAGGCTGTAATCAGCCCCAGCTCCAGCACAGGTTTCTGAATTAAAATATTCACAAGCAGCACAGACATCTGTAGGAAGAGTAACGGGAGGCGACATCCTGCCGGAGGCCAGGCTAAATGTGTCCCATGACATCACTCCGAAGAGGAGGCTGCCAGGGCCGGGAGGCTCCCGCAGCCGAGTGCCGCAGAGGGGGTGGGCCGGGTGCTGCCTGGCTCCTGGGCCCCCGCCCTGCGAAGAAATGCTGTGTCGGCCTCTGGCGGACGGAGAAGTTGTCTGCCCCCCCAGGCCCATCTGGTCTGGGGAGATGGGTCTTTCCCTGCAGCCTTCTGGCTCCCCCTGGTCCGATCCTGAGCACCGGTAGGTCTCTGTCAGTCTGCTGCCCGCGGGAGTGGCAGGGAGGGGGGCTCTGACAGCCACGTCACCTGCTGGGAGGGTTCCTGCCCCACAGCCTCGGTGACACCCTCTTGGGGCGGCTCTGCCAAGCTTGGGATCCCAGCAGAGTCCCTGGCAGGCTGTGCCGGAGCTCGAGAAGAGCAGCTCTGCTGGAAGCCCAGGTCCTGTGAGGGTGCAGCGTCCTGGAGCAAAGACAGGAAGAGGTTCAGAGAGGCGGCCACAGGCTGGCACCTCTGCGAGGGGCACACACGCTCTGTGTCCTCGTCCTGCAGGTACAGACTCCGCACACACTCACACCCGGCTGCTAGCTGTGAGCGCATGTGCACGCAGGGGAGCTGGGCTCTCTGAAGAGATGTCTGGCTCTTCCCCTCCTGCTTTTCCTGATTTTTGCTCTCTGGTCTGCTGCCCTCGTCTTCCTGCTTCTGTTCTCAGCCTCCTGGCCTGGGAAGGCCGCGCATGGAGAGGGCCGGCGGCCGGGCGCTGTCCTCGGTGCTGGAGGCCGGCGGGCCCGCGGGCCGGTTGGGGAACAGGCAGGAGAGCCAGGAGGACCGGATCGTGAATCCAGGCGTGGCCAGTGGGGCCCCCCAGGATGCCTGCTCTGGTTCTTCCTGAAAATGTGCACCTGAGCTTCCTTCTTTCAACCCCAGACACTGAAATGGAAGGTGTCGGCCCCTCAGCCCGGTGCGGGCAGACCATCCGCTGTAGCTGCGAGGGGCTTCTTGAGACCTCGTGCGCCACGTGGGGTTGGGTATGAGGACCCCGATGCCTGTGTCCTCATGAGACACCTGTGATTCCATGTGGCTGCATGTCACCAGTGAGCACACATGGCAGCCTGCGGCCACATGGAGCCTCCCGTGACCTTGTGTGGCCGCAGACCCCACCTGGTGCGTCCCAGACGGTCCGGGCACGGTCAGGTCTGGCTGCGCCCCTGCCGGAGCCTGGAAAGGCCGTCGCGCTCCCGTCCTTACCGGTGACCGACGCGGCCCCGGGCCTCCGCGCGTCCGCACACTCGGTCCCAGGTACCGGCGCGCAAGCAGCTCCCGGGACAGGTGGCGGCGACCGCGGACCGCCCGGCGGTGGGACCCGGGCGCGGGGCGCGCGGGGCGCGGGGCGCGCGGTGCGGGCGTGGCGGCGGGTGGCCGCGGGTGGCCGCGCTCCCGCGCCCGTCGCCCGTGCGCTCCCCCGCCGGTTCCTCCCGAACGCCGGGGCCTGTCGTTGGGAGCGGGCGGCGGGGCCGGTGCGCTGCGGGCCGGGCGGTTCCGACGCGGAGCGCGGGGCGGAGTCTGCTCGGTGCGGGGCGCCCCTCCCCTGCGCCAGGCTCCGCAGCGCGGGGGGCGGGGGCTGCGGCGCCGCGGGCGGGGGCTAAAAATACCCGGAGCGGCGGCGCCGGCGACGACTCGGCTGCGGGCTGCGGACCCAGCCGGCCGGGCGGCCGCCGGGCGACATGCTGACCTTCTTCCTCGTGTCCGGGGGCTCCCTCTGGCTGTTCGCGGGTGAGTCCCGCCCTGCCCCGGCTGCGGCAAGCGGGGGGCTTCGCCCGGGCTGGGGAGGGGTCCCTGCCCGGCGCCGGCCCGTCCTGCTGCTGCGCGGTGTCCCCAAGGTCCCCGCGCCGGCGACGTGCGCCCGCCGCCCCCGGGGCCGGCTCCGGGCCGGGGCTGGGCTTGGGAAGCGGCGGGTCTGCGGGTGCGGAGCCTGCTCTCTGCGACCCCGCGACCTCCCCCGTCCCGAGTCCCCTCCCCTACGGCCGGACCGTCGCTGAGCAGATTAGGCCCCGAGCCAAGGCCCGGGACAGACTTCCGCGTCCCCGTTCACCTCCTGGGACCAGAACCCGCGGGGTCGGGCCTGAGGTCCCCGGCGAGTGGGCGGCTGTGAACCGGGATTGACCCGGCCCGCTGACTTGGCCTGGGGCCTCCTCTCCGCGCTTCCCTGCCGCTTCAGCCCCAGCGCGAGATACCTGTGCAGCCTGGTCCACTTGGCTCCTGGCTCTGCCCAGGGCTGCAGCCCCCTCCCTTCCGCACGCAGGAGTCGGCTTCACCCCTGCGCCCTCCTAGAAGGCCGGGAGGACCCCGCTGGACCCCCGCCCAGCACCCCGTCCAGTCCCTACACCCCCGCACCTGGGGTCTCCCCGCAGGCCCTTCCATCTCCTGCTGGGGGGGGTCCCCCGGAGTCCAGCACCGCGAAAGAGTCTCCACCTCCCCCACCCTCGTGTGCAGACTCAGCCCGAAAATGTATGTGAAGTGCTTGACCCTTAGTATCGGCCTTAGAGAGACCTGGCCCAGCCCAGAGGAAGTGCTGTGTGCGCGTTAGTGTTTATCACTATTTCACATACAGACAGCGCCATCAGGGGCCGTGGTAAAGTTCTTTATGGGAGGCAGTTGGCTCTTTCGAAATTCTCACCTGAAATTTTGCATGTGTTGTTTAATGTTCATAGTAAACCCTAGGAGGTGGGTGGTGCTGTCCCTTTATTTACCGAGGTTTAGAGGGTAACTCGCTTCCCTCCCTGGTGGCAAGCAGATCTCTGGCAGACTGGGATCAATTGATGAACCCATGCTAAGTGCCTGGTTGTCTGAGGCCTGAGCTGGAGGGCTGTGGCCAGGTAGTGACTCTCCCCACCCCCACCGGCACCCTGCGCCAGGACGCAGGGGTGGGGGCGAGTAAGGCCTGGCTAATCCCCTCAGCTCCCTAAGCTCCTTCCGTCTGCCAGTCTGGTGACAAGCTGTGCAGGGCCACGCTGGTCCCGATGCACATCCAGCCGGGAAGGACAGGGTAAGGGACAGGGGTGATCAAAACGGGGATGAGGATGGTAACGGCCACCGTGTATGGCCTGGGTGCTGGGTGGTCTTAGAGGCCCTCCCCACGGCCAGGACCCCTGGGCCCTGCCCTCAGGAGGCCCCACACAGCCGTGGGTCCAAGGACAGTCTGGGGCTGCAGGGACGCTTGTGATGGGGTCACCAGCAGCCTGTGAGAAGAAAAGCGCCTCCCAGTGTGGGGCCCTGGTCTGCAAGTGGGGTCAGCTGCCGCCGGCTCTGGTGGCCTCTCCTGGGTCCTCATGGAGCATTTCCCAAAGTGGTCAGGCGCCACTAGTGGGAAGGGGGGATCTGCCTCCCTGAGGGTCTCTGCAGGGGCTTGAGTGACAGAGCAAGTGACTGCCAGGCCTGTGGCAGCTGCTGACAGGGAGGCCACGCTTCTCTGGGGTACAGTGCTGGTTGGGTGCGATGCCCTGGACCCCCTGGGGCATTCCTAGGTTAAGTGTCCACCCTCTTTGGGACTTTGCCTGGGCGCCAGCCTTTCTCTGGGGGCAGAGGAGACTCCCGGGCTGAGAACGGCAGTTTAGTGAGCACACCTGAGCACACGCTCGGCCTTGTTATTCCCGGCGTCCTGTGGCAGCTGCAAGATCCCTTCCACTGAGCCAGAAGCAGCAGGCGATCGACCGATATCTCTCTAGTGGGGTTATGTGCTTTTTGCCACCTCACCTGGCCCTTGGGAGACAAGGTGAGTCCAGGCAAGGGCTTCCCTCAGGGGCCTCAGGACAAGAATGACATAAAGGGGCAAAGGGAGCTGACCGTCTGGGGGAAGCAGCCAGGTACTCGGGGCTCTGGTCTCACCTGCGTGTGGAGTAGTAAACAAGAGACAAGTAAATACGTCCAGCGTGAGTCAGAGGCTGGGCCTGGTGCAGAAAAATGTGCTTTCAGTGCTACGAGCACTTGGAGGATGATGGGAGCGATGGATTGGAGCTTCTCCTGCCTATATTGGACCTTGGTGCAAAGTAGGATAAACGTGTAAAAGGGCAGCCCTTCCTCTCGGCTGACGCAGCCCCATGCCCTCGCACAGGGTCCAGTTTGTTCAAACGTGTACCTGCCCCCCAGTGATGTCTGAGTGGCCTCCTGCAGCGCGGGGCCTTTGTCAGGGACATGCAGGCCACACTCCAGACACAGGAAGCCAGACCAGCCAAGGAAGAGCCGTGACGAGGGATGAGTCTTGAGGGTCGGGTGCCTGCAGAGCCTGGCTGTGGCTGCACAGGGTGTGCCAGTCATCACGTAGGAGCGTTTTGACCTCGGCACCTTCCCACAGCTCTCCAGCCTGCATGGTAGGCGCACGCCGACACCAGGGGGCAGCAGAACCCACTCACCGTGCTCCCCAGCCAGTTTTCTGCCGCTTGTGATTTTTAAGGGCTCTTAGGTTGACCTTCAGAAGGCTGAATTTGGCTCAGACTCCACTCCATATGGGACCTAGAACTTTCCCCTGCACAGGCTGAGTGAGCATGAGGCTCTGGCTTGTTTGCAAAAAAAGAAGCAAAAGGTGCAGGCTTTCCAATGACAGAAGCTGCCCTGTATATCCAGCCCATGCCTGGCACATAGTAGGCACTCCAGTATGCATTGAATGAAGAACTGGGTGTGTATACGGGCAGAGGTGGGGGGGCGCTGTTTTCATTGGGGGAAGTGTTGTTGCAAACATGCTGACTTAGCTACTGTTTCACTGAGCGCCTACAATGTGTCGAACAGCTTGTTCTATGATTCTCCAGGCTTCCCTTCAGTCTTCCCAGGACACTGTGGTGCTGTTGTCCCCGTTTGCTGGATGCAGCACCGGGAGACCCAGGGAGGTTCGGGGTGAAGCAGCTTTAGCAGGCTCGGCAGTGGGCCCAGGCAAGGAGGCAGTCGTTGGGCAGGGGAGGGTTTAAAGAGAGGACACACGTAAAGTGCCAAGAGCAGGGGCTGGCACACAGGGAAGGGCTCGTTAAATGTTAGCTGAAATTATAGCAACTTGTGCTGGGCCTTCCTTAAAGGAGACCCAGGATTCCGACATGCAGAAAGTGAGTAGGGAAACAGA